GAATTTGCTTCGTGCTGTTTATAGGGTCACTATGAGTCGGAAGGGACTCAACAGCAGTGAATTTGGTTTGGTTTGGTTTCAGGGACAGGATTCGGTATCTTAGGATGTGCTGTCTTTCTGCCTGGAATGACCTTTCCATTTACTTAATTTAACTGTCTTCTCTCATGTTGCAAAGTTTGGTTTAAGCATCACCTCCTTTACCTTTGATTAAAGTGTTTCATCTTTGTGTTCTTCGAGCACTATTATACCGAATTAGCTCTCCCACATGATAGTGTAAATAATAGATTTACTTTCTTGGTCCCCTAAAAACACTCCAAGTACAGCAGTGATCATGTATTTAGTACTGGAAGTGCCTCGCACGATGTCTAGCATATAGTCAGTGCCTGATAAGTGTTTGTTAAACAAATGAATGAGATACTAGAAACCTGGACTGGTGCAGATTATGCTTAGGCATGGGTGGGGTTGAAAGATATTTAGGAGGAGGAATTGGAAGGACTGAGGAATCGGAATCGACTGGACGCAGTGGTTTTGGTTTTTTGGTTTGGTTTATTGATTGGTTACAGGTGGGGAGTGAGGAAGAGGGAGTAGTAAAAGATAACCTTTAGGCTTCTAGTTTTGATAACTTGGTGCTGTTGACTGAGATAGGAAAAACTGAAATGGATGGGGTGTGAATATAATATCCCTGCATTTACTTATTTATTGTGGACATGATGTGTTAGAGATGCCTGTAGGACATTAAATTGGAAACGACATACCCAGCAGATAGTAAATGACATGTCCAGGGTCTAGATCAGTGTGCCCGATAAAAATATAATGCAAGCTACAAATGTAATTTTAAAATTGCTAGTAGCCACGTTAAAAAAAATAAAAAGGAACAGGTGAAAGGTGAAATTAATTTTAATAACATTTAACCCAGGGTTTCTTAATCTCTATTCTATTAACATTTTGGGCTGGATAATTAATTCTTTGTTGTAGGGGGTTATCCTGTGCATTATAGGATGCTTAGCAGCATCCTTGGCCTCTGTCCATTAGATGCCAGCAACCACCCCCCTGTCCCTCAGTTGTGAGAGTCAAAAATGTCTCCAGACATTGCCAAATGGCCCCTGGAGGTGGGCAAAGTTTAATATATCCAAAATATTTAGCTTATATCCAAAATATTATTTCAACATGTAATCAGTATTAAAAATTGAGGTATTTTACAATCTTTGTTCGTATTGAATCGTTGAAATTGGATGTGTATTTTACACTTAGGGCACTTCTCAATTTCTGCTAGCCCCATTTCAAGTGCTCGGCAGCCACATGTGGCTAGTGTCTCCCTTATTGGAGAGCACAGGTCAAGAGCTCTAGAGGAAAGGTTAGGGCTAGAAATATGGGTTTGAGAAGTCACGAGGCAACCGTTAAAACCGTGGGAGGAGATGAGCTAGCCCAGGCAGACTATATTTAGAACGAGAAAAAGGGAGGATTGAGGAAGACTCCTAGGGCACTGCTCTTCTAGTTCCCTCACACAATCTGCTACCCTTTCTTGTTTATTAGTATTCTTTTTTAAATATTATCTTCTCTGAACAATACAGAAAACATAAGTAAACAAAAGAAATGATAAGAAAGATGAATTGATGGCAAAGGGAAGGAACATTTAATTGGTAAGTGATGTGAGGATCAGGAGTCCCTGGCTGGCACAAAGAGTTAGCACTTGATTACTAGCCAAAAGGTTGGCTGTTTGAACCCACCCAGAGGTACCTGAGGAGACAGGCCTGGAGATCTTCTTCCTAAGGCCTTGAAAATCTTATGGAGCAGTTCTACTCTGACACACATAGGGTCACCATGAGTCGGAGTCGCTCGAGGGCAACTAACAACGTTAGAAGCATTATATAAACTCTCATTTTATCTCACAAGAAACCTTTGACGTAAGTAATGTTATCTTAGTTTAGTAAACTGAGATTTATGAAGGTCTAACAAATCAATCATTAATATCACACACAAGTAAAATTATGCTGAAGATAATTTAAAAACAGTTGCAGCTTTTCTGGGAACTACCAGAAATTCAAGCTGGATTCAGAAGAGGACTTGGAACAAAGGATATCATTGCTGATGTTAGATGGATCTTGTCTGAAAGCAGAAAATACCAGAAAGATGTTTACCTGTGTTTTATTGACTACACAAAGGCATTTGACTCTGTGGATCATAACAAATTATGGATAACATTGCAAAGAATGGGAATTCCAGAACACTTAACTGTGCTCATGTGGAACCTGTAAGTAGATCAAGAGGCAGTTGTTCGAACAGAACAAGGAGATAACTGCGTGGTTTAGTCAGGAAAGGTGTACTTCAGGGTTGTATCCTTTCACCGTACTTATTCAATCTGTATACTGAGCAAATAATCCGAGAAGCTGGACTCTGTGAAGAAGAACATGGCATCAGGATTGGAGGACTCATTAACAACCTGCCATATGCAGATGACACAACCTTGCTTGCTGAAAGTGAAGAGGACTTGAAGCACTTACTGATGAAGATCAAAGACCACAGCCTTCAGTATGGATTACACCTTGACATAAAGAAAACAAAAATCCTCACGACTGGACCACTAAGCAACATCATGATAAACGGAGAAAAGATTGAAGTTGTCAGGGTTTTCATTTTACTTGGATTCACAATCAACAACCATGGAAACAGCAGTTGAGAAATCAAAAGATGCATTGTGTTGGGCAAATCTACTACAAAAGACCTCTTTAAAGTGTTGAAAAGCAAAGATGTCACCTTGAAGACTAAGGTGCGCCTGACCCAAGCCATGCTGTTTTCAGTCTCCTCATATGCATGTGAAAGCTGGACAGTGAATGAGGAAGACTGAAGAACTGATGCCTTTGAATTATGGTGTTGGCTAAGCATATTGAATATACCATGGACTTCCAAAAGAAGGAACAAGTCTGTCTTGGAAGAAGTACAATCAGAATGCTCCTTAGAAGCAAGGATGGAGAGACTATGTCTCACATACTTTGGACATGTTATCAGGAGGGACCAGTCCCTGGAGAAGGACATCATGCGTGGTATAGTAGAGGGCCAACGAAAAAGAGGAAGACCCTCCACGAGATGGATTGACACAGTGGCTGCGAGCATCATGAGGATGGCGCAGGACCGGGCAGTGTTTCCTTGTGTTGTACATAGGGTTGCTATGAGCTGGAACTGAGTGGAGGGCACCCAACAAGAACAACAACGTGATGATTGTACAGCCAGAGTTGCCAGGATATTAATTACCACGTATTGTCTGATTCCGGAAGCAAACTCGCCTCAAGAGTGAGGTGCAGTGATCTTTGTCATTAGCGGGTATGATCCATCGTTCTGCAAGACACCAAACCCGCGATGTTTCTGTTTAAGTGTACGGAAGTATACAGTCAGTGATTTTGTGGCTAGTTGTAATTTTTAGTTAGGAAAAATTAACTAAGATGTATTCAAGATTTTACGTTAGTATTGAACGGAGGAACGCCAAGGGATATAATGAGCTTTGTGACACCGTTCGGCTTCTCCGGCAGCATTAAAAAGTATGAAGGGGGAGGGGCAGGAGAGGGGGCGGGGCAGGGAGAAGGTCGAATCTGAGCAAGCGCAGAAGCAAACAGATGTTGATGGAGGCGTGGAGGCTCTTGCGCTCTCTCGCTTTCCGAGCTGTCGTAAAGTCCTCCAAGTGTCGCGCGCGCTCGTTGGGGGAAGGATTGGTTAGGCGGCGGCGGCCGGGGAGCAGTAGTAGTGGCGGCTCGGTGGCGGGGTGCTGGGTGTGCGCAGCCTGGAAACGCCCGCAGCTTCGGAGAAGGATTTCCCGTGGGACCAAATTAGGCATTCCGAACCCAAGCCGTGTTGACTGGGCCGAGTCCAGCCGTCGCCGCTCATACAGTTGTGGCGGTGACAGACGCTGTTCTTGGCCATAGGGGCCTGTTGGGTCGACGTCTGAGGCGCAGATCTCCGGCTCTCGACGCACCCCCTTCCCCCTTCCATCTCCCGTCTGTCTTCCTGCCCGGGTCAGAGATCCCGGACCCCGGGAAGAAGGTGGCTAATGATTAAGGTGAGGGGCCGGGGGGAGGGGAGGGTCGGAGGCCGCGCGTGCGCGGTCGGGGGAGGGGCCGGCCGGGAGGGGAGAAAGAGGAAGGGCTGCGGCCGGGCGGCCGGGGTCGGCCCGCGGTCGGCGGTGCCGCTGCCGGGGTGACTTGGGGCCTGGGTCTCCGCAGGGGGTCTGATTGTGTGCGGCACAGCCTGTGTCTGCAGACACACCCACACCTCGGAGTGAGGGCTGCGGGTGAGGGGATTTCTTGGCCCTTTTCGACTCTCGCAGAGTCTTCGGCTGGAGGTTGAGGCGGGGGGGGGGTGCGGTTTGACAATGGAGTGATGAAGGTAACCCAGACCGGGGGAGTCGGAGGGCGTGAAGTCACCCCTGACGGTTAGGGAGTTGCCTCCTCTGTGATCAAGAAAACGAAGTCCGCCGAACACCAGAAATCCAGCCGCGTCAGATTTTGTGTAGAGTTGGCTTGTTAGTCATTAGAAACGAAGCTTGATATTTTTATTATTGCCCTTTGATAATTTGCAAGAGTCAGTGACAGTCCTGCAGGGAATGTGTCTGTTCTGCACTGCAGAATAAGAGGTTTGCCCCAGTAGTTCTTAAATAGGTTATAGTAGACCTTTACAGATGTTTTTTAGCCAAGTGTAAGTTTCAACGTTAAAAAAAAAAACACCAGGAAGTATAAGGTATTCGTTTAATTTGTTGATGTTTGTAGCGTGGGTTGACCCCATTGTGTTGTAAGCTTTCCTGTTTCTTGATTTATATGCGGTATGAATTTAGAACTCTTGAGTGGTCAGATGCCAGCTGACATAGGTTTCATTTTATAGGAGTTCTTACAGCTTTTGAACCAGACTTAATTCAAACTTTATTTCATTTGGTGTTTTATCTTTAATTTTCTTGTTTTAGGGACCTATGCAACCATAAAGAACAGACTGGGGAAAAGAAAAACTAAGGTTCCTTTTCCTTTCCCATTTTTGTTTTTTGTATCATTGCTTGCAAATGTTAGAATGTGATTTTGATGTTACATAGAAGTTTTGTTAATACAGGTTTTATCTAGCTTTATTAAGACGAAGAGCTAGATTCCTATGGTTTGTTACTATACGTTTTTTAGCAGAAATTTTCACATCAATACGAAGCATGCATTTAATACTAAGCAGTAGTCTTTGGTTACGTTTGTGAGACAAAACAGATGAGATGAGAAAGAAGAAGCCCTTTTCCTCTGAATCTTGAATTAGAATTTTTTTTTAAAGCCTTCAATTCTTATTTTTGTCACTGTCTTCCCATTTAACCTTGGACAGATGACTTTATCATCTTTCTCCTACTCACTTTATCACCTAAGATTTCCTGTAATATTCTAAGAACTGGTGAGGTTGTTTATGAATTAGTCTGAACAGTATTGGAAGAAAAACTGACAATAGTCTGTTCTTGTTCTTCAGGGACGCTGTATCTTTCATGTTTGGATCCTTTTTCTTATGTCACTTTTTTTCCTTTTGTTTGGTGTCTGTTGGTCATTTGTCTTTCACTAGAAATAGTGTTGGTTCTTGAAGAAAGGTATGGTCAAAATAATTTCATTTTTGTGGAAAATGCATTACGATGGAGGTCACAACTTGAAGTTTCTAGATTTGATGAATTTCTCTTCAGTAATAGTCTATTCCGCAGTTCTACAAATAATTGAGAAAGAGCTGTGTGATGTTTAAAACAAGAGAACAGCAATTTACAAGTCTAAAGCAAAGGAATTGTCAGTTTCACAAATACTCCTAAATAGAATTATTTTCACTTTAAAATTTGAACACATTGAATCAAAGCAGTTAGATTTTAGATGTTTTATTATTTTGTCAGAAAAGGGTTTATGCATCATGCTTTCCTTAAGGCATAATTATATTGTCCCTGTTTTGACTCCCCCCCTCCCCCTGTGGGCTAGTGCTTCAATTGGAAAAAAAAAGTTCCTAAGAAATGATAGTAATTAAAATATGTTATAACTTGATATTAACATTCCGAGGGTGGTATTATCTTGGGAAAGAGTATGGGCTAGAGACAGAAGATCAGAATTTTAGATCTAACTTTGCTTGCTGTTCATTAGATCTGTGACTTTACTGATAACTCTTCCTGGGCTTCAGATCTCTTGCAACTGTTAAATGAGAAGTTTGGAATAGAAATCTCTGGTTTTCTCTAGGTCCTACATTTAACGATTTGTATTTTTAGTTAGGTGTCATTTTGTTGTATTCATGATGATCAAATCCCTGTAAGAAATGCTGTACTAAGAGTATAAATTTCTTTATGCTTTAATAGCCCACATATGGTACTAAAAATGAAACTTTTTATTACTCCTGGTGAGATTCTTTAATATCAACCTGAACGATTTGTTTTTCTTTCAGAAATCGATAATCATTGTTTGTTGAAAGTCCAGAATTGCATTGAATGTCTTATACCTCTGTTTTTTCTTTCCTGTATCCGACAGATTTTTGGTAACAGCTGGCCCAGGTTTCCACTGGTGCTTGATTTGTACCATTGCGTGAGGAGTGAGCTACAAAATGTTTAAAAACAAATACTAAGCTGAACCTAAATTTTAATAGAGGTACTGCATTGTTTTTCTCAGTCATTCAGTTAAGTATTGAATGTCTCATGTTCTAGGCACTGTTCTTGGACTTTGGGACACAACAGTGAAGAAGGCACTCTGCCTTCATGGAGCATACATTCTGTTAGGAGAAGACAGATAATAAACAGAATAGTCTCAGACAGTGGTAAGTCCCAGAAAGAAAATATAAGAGGACAGTGTAATAGAGAAATTAATGAAAGTGGGGCTCTACTATGGATTGAGTGGTTAGGGAGGCCTTTTATTTCAGAAGTTAATTCTTGATTTGAGATCTCAGTGACTAGAAGGAAGCAGCCACAGAGACTTCCAGAAAAAGAGTGCTGCAGACAGAGGGAACAGCAAGTCTTTGCATTGAATTTGATTCTGTAGGATCTGCAAGTGTAAATTATTCCGTTTGTCTGTTAGCCTTTTTCATAGATGCTGATAGACAGTGTGAAAAGATTAGAACTATTTTACCTGTAGCAACCAAATGTAACGCACTGGCCTCTTTAAAATCCTAACTCAACGAAACCAACTGTAGAAAGTCATTTGAAACAGTTGGGAGAAACCTGTGAATGGGCATTAGATGATATCAAGGCATTATTGGTAATTTTGTTAGGGATGATGATGGCGTTATGTTTATGTAAGAAGATGCCCGTGTATTTTAGAGATGGAGACTGAGAAATGAAGGAGAGAAATGACAAGATATCTGGTGTTTTTTTAATTTAGTGCAAATAAAACAAGATGGATTGAGATAGATGAAACAAGTGTGGCAACAATCTTGATACTTGTTGGTTGGGGTGATGGGTATGTGGATATTAATAGTATTGTTCTCTGCTTTTTTAAGGTTTGAGAATACTCATAACATTTAAAAATTTATTTAAAATAATTTATAAGAGTACTATTTTTAGGTGTCTCCCCTCTTTCTCCCAATTTTGATAAAATAACAGTATGTTGTTGTTCTTGCTAAATGTTTAACATTTATTCAGCAAATGAGTATCTGCTATTTTTCAGGCACTGTGCCAGGGCTGGAGTTAGAGCAAAGAGCAGAATCTTACAGTCTACTTATGAACGGCTTATAGTTTGCTGAAGGAAGGAGAGAGTCCCTCCGTGTGGATCATGTTAACATGAAAATCATAGGTGTTAACCTTTTTGTGTTATATTTTGTATCCTGAGAAGAAACAGAAGCAGCAATTTAGTTTAGTGTTTAGGTGTCTGGATACTTAAAAAATATTTTTCCTATTCTAGGGAATTGAAAATTTAAGAAATTTTACCTGGGACTGTGTGCTAGCTGAATCACCGTTGTGATCATTTCCCTTATTCTTATGTGCTGTAGGGTGTCAGAATAAATGGCTTATTGTCACCACCTTTTGACATCCCACTTTGCTTTTATTTAAACTTACTTTGAAATAATTTCAAACTTATAAAAAAGTTTTAAAAATAATACAGAGAACTCTTGAATACTCTATTCAGATTCACCAGTTTTTAACGTTTTGTCACATTTGCTTTCTCGTTTTCTCTTTTCTGAATCATTTGAGAGTAAATTACATGCACTATACCACTTGTCTTTTAAGTATTCACTGCATGTTGTATTCTTTTGCATTATCACAATAAACCAAAAAATCAAACCCAACCTACCGTCAATTCTGACTCATAGCTACCCCATGTGTTACAGAGTAAAACTGCTCCATAGAGTTTTCTTGCCTGTAATCTTTATGGAAGCAGATCACCAGGCCTTTCTTCCATGGCGTTGCTGGGTGGGTTTGAACTGCCAACCTTTAGGTTAGTAGCTGATCACAAACTGCTTGCGCCACCCTTTGTTATCACAGTAGAGTTACCAAATTCAGAAAATTTAACATTAATACTATACCTTTACCTAATTTATAGGCCTTATTCCATTTTTGTCAATTTATCCCGATAATAGCATTCGTCCCTTTATAGCATTTTCCGCACCTTCAGTAGAGGATCAGTGCAGGATCACAAGTTGCCTTTAGTCGTCGTGTCTCTTTAGTTTCCTTTAATCTGGAACAGTGCCTGAGCCTGCCTTTGTTGTTGATTGCATTCAGATTTTTGAAGAATGTAGGCCATGTATCTTATAGAATATTCCTCAATTTAGATTTGTCTGATGTTTCCTCATGATTAGATTCAGATTACATATCCCCAGCTACGGATTTTGTATCGTTCCCAGGTTTTGGAGCCATGATGTTGGTCTGCCCTTCTCTGGTGATGTTAATTTTAATCAGTTGGCCGTGGTGTTGTCTGTTGCCTGTACAGTAATAAGCAGTCTGAGGGGATAAGTTTGAGAGGGTGCAGGTGTTCTGCTCCTCATCTGACTTCCGGGTTCCTCATCTAACTTTTCTCCCTGGCTTTGGCTTCCGTCAGTGATTGTTGCCTGCACTGATCTTTGCTCTGATGGTCGAGAAATGGTGATTCTTTTCTAACTGCCCCTCCATCCTCTCCACTGCCTCAGCAGGAAGGGGCATCCCTTTATCTGCCTGTTAACCACGCAGACTCACGTACTTCTATTTTATTCAAGAGGTTATACTCCATTACTGCCGTGAGTTATTCTGAGACTCAAATTGTTCCAGATTTGGCCAGTGGGAGCCTCCTTTCCGCTGGCTCTTGTGTCTTTTTGACATACCCTCATCGTTTTTTGAGTACTTCCTTTCTTTGTGGCACAGCAAGATGTTCCAAACTTATCTGTATCTTCCTTGGCTCAGCTGTGGAAACAGTTGTTTCTCCAAGGAGCCCTGGTTCCTTTTCGTGGAAAATCCGATTTACTTTTTAGGTACCTAATTATATATAGAAATAATCTCTTCATTCCATCATCAGAACATCCTCTGAGAAACAAAATTTGAATTTGATTTTGATAGTAGGTTTATATTTCTGTGAAGATTTTATTGGTATATGAAGTAATCACATAAGATTCTGAAATTTATATTTACTATAAAGCAATAATTTTATTCTTCTGTGCTTCTTTTTTCAAATAATGAGTTTATGTTCTGATGTGATCTTAATTATGATTGTACAAAATAGAATAAGAAAAATATAAATGGTTATTTTCCCTTTTTAACAGAGGATTTAACCACTTAACTGTTAAAAAAAAAAACACTTAAGGTTTACACACACAACTGTTTTAACTAAGTCAGCAGACATTCTGTTGAAAGAAATTGTTGCTTTTAAAACAGCTTTTTAAATGAAAACATTTAAAAATTATAATATACAATAATATTTCACATACACGTGGAAACTCACGGGCCTACTCTCTCAGGCGGTTGTTGTTGCGTCATGGTGTAATTCACACCCATTCTCTCACCTGTGCACGGGTGTTTGGCTTATTTATTTATTTATTTTTCTGTTAAACCTAACCCATTATGAGTATTTATCCAGGTATGAGTATTTATATTTTATATTCAAAATAAAAAAAAATTTTGGGTAATTTTTATTTTTAAATCAATTAATATGTGTAAATGGTTTAAAAAGTCAGTTCCAAGAGACTTGATTAAAAACAACAGTCCCCTGTGCCGCCCTCCTAATCCCCCACTTCCATTTCCTAAGTGGGGACACTTTCAGGTCTTTAAAATTTTTTTTTTCTGCTATTTACCTTCGTATTTCTAAATAATATGCTCATGTAGCTACTTATTAAGTTTTGATATCAGTTTACATTTTTTTTTAATTTAATTTTTTAAAAAGCAATACATACAAAGGGTGTACAGGGAAAAAATAAGTCTCTTTGCTATCCCTGCCTTCCCACTACCCAGTTCTTTCACTGGAGATTTGTGCCCTCACTGGAAGTATGTCCCCTTTTACCATTTCGTATGTATCTCCAGAGTAGCGGTTCTCTGACGGTGGTCTGATGAATTCTTGAGGGGATCTCCAAGTGTTTCAGATGGTTGTAATACTAAGATTTTATTTGCTGCTTCAACTGTGTTGATATTTGCACTGATGATGCAAGAACAGTGGTGGGTAAAACTGCTGAGCTACAGCATAAATCAAGACAGTGGCAAAAAGTGTGCTGATATTCATTATATTCTTCACACCACACATTGCACTTTCACTTAAGGGTGTCCTTCATGAAGCAGTAAACACTGTGAATTTTATTAATCTTGACTCTTAGTACATGTCTTGTTAATATTCCGTGTGACAAAATAAGGCGTTTCTTAACATGTCTTTGTAATATTCCATGTGACAGAATAAGGCATTTCTGCTGAATACCAAAACATGATGCTTGTCTTCAGGAAAAACTACTCGTATAACTGAGTTGAGAGTAGAACTAGCAAAGAAGCCTCTTTTTTCATGGAACATTTTTACTTGGAAGAATAAACTATAGTTATTTAAACTTGGGTATTTACAGATATTTTCTCAAAAGTAGATGAACCTGTCACTTCAAGTAAACAACTGTAGAATTTATTGCCAATGATAAAATTCAAGCTTTCAAACAGATTAGAATTTTGGAAAACATATCTGCCAATGTGAGCTTGACAGCTTTTCAAGACTTTTCTGATGAAATTGATGGTGACATTAACAAATGTGATTTTTGTGCTGTTGCATAATACTTCAGTATTTGGAAAATGTGCGTTGCTCCATGAACCAGTATTTTTTAAAAAGGACCAGTGCATGATGTTACAGAATCATTCATGGGTGAAAGATACATTAAAGTGCAAGATAGACCAATGTATTTTTAATGAAACAGTATGAGAAGTTGTATTATTATGGTTTCAAATTCCAAATTACAACTAACTTTTATGAAACTAGTCAAATTTGGGGGTATTATCAAAGAGGAATAACATCTGCGTTTATCTTGAAAGGCTATTAAAAATATTCTTCCCTTTTTCAATTACATATTTGTGTGAAGCTTATTTTTCTTGTAATTTAACCAACACACTATATCACAGCAGACTGAATACAGAAGCGGATACGAAAATCCAGCTTTTTTCTCTTAAGCCAGATATTAAAGTGATTTGTACAACAGTGCCACTCTTCTCATGAAATTTTTTTTGGAA